AAATAAATAAATAAATAAATAAATAAATAAATAAATAAATAAATAAATCTTTTTAAAAAATAGGTGGATCCAATTCAGACATCTACTTACTTATCTGATACTGTAATAGATAGCCAGTTAAGTTTCCATTCAATTTCTTAGGTAGTCCCCAGGTTAAAGTGGCAGTGTCTTTATCAACTTTGATGACCTTGAGAAAAGCTGGTTGTTCAGGTACTAGAAAACATAAGACCAAGAAGATAATTGGTAAATTTCTTTAAAAAAAAAAAAGCTCCATTAGATTCCAGTTTTCCATAGAAATTGAGAAGCTAACTCATATGAAGTACATATTTATTAACTACTAATAAGGAGGTAAATGTTTAATTTGGCCATTGGATAACTCCCATTGTTGGCATTATTCTTCACTGTTATTCTTACCTCCTTCTGGTGTTTGAAATATATAAGGCTCACTCTCTGGACCAGCTCCTTTGGAATTATAGGCTAAGACTGTTAAGTGAAATTCACTAAAGGCATCTAGAGAAGGAACCATTCCATAGTTTCTTTGTCCTGAAAATCTCAGAATGTTTACTTCTTTGGGATGTGCTCTTCCATCCAACAGACTTTTTGTTTTCCACCAATTTATCTGCAATGGAAATAGGAACCCTTTAACATATCAACCATGGTGGCAGATTCTCTTCTAGCTTCTTCTAAGATCAGTTCTTATTTGCATTTAAGATATTAATTCAGCAACAAGAAAATCTATGATAAAAACCTGATATCCTTTCAGATGTCCATGTACTCTGTCCTTTGGAATTGTTGACCAGGTAACTTTAACTAATGTGCTGTTTATAACGTCCACCCCATGGATCACTGGAGCTGTATCAGGATCTGTTAAGCACATAAGAATGACGAGCTTTCAATACCCTCAAATGTGATTATTAGGATCCTTTTCAAAAGGTGATTTTTCATATTGCTTAATCTGAGCACAGCACTCTTATGAAATCAATTCCAAATGGAACCAGGAGAGTTTCTCATTACAGAGGAGTTTCAGAGCCCAAATAGGTTTCTAGGAGGAGAGGATAGCTTATACCACACTGAGAAATGCAGTTTTCCCAGTGGATACAGTGTGGGCAGTGTAACTGGAACAAGTGGCCAGTGAAATATTCCGTGGGCATCCTGCCTTTAGAAGCAGATGAACTAAACAATATAACCAAAATTACTTGAGAGCTTGATCAGTCTATTAATAACAACAGCTAACATTAACTGAGCACATGCTATGTGTAGGCAATGTTCTGAGCAACTGGCTCACTGGACTGGCTCACATAATCCTTAGAACAACCCTATAAAGTGGTATTATCCCCATTCTATAGGGGAACTAACTACAGAGGAATAAACCAAATGCAGGAGCAGCCACAACTAATAATATCTTAGCTCACAGTGATATGCCCGGTGTAATTTTATTTGGGTAGAAGGATTTAGATAGCAGGTAAATAAGGAGTTAGTAATTTCACATTCTCAATCTGTTTCCATTCTTGAATCAAAGTATCACCTTGGATACTGGAAAAACAATGAGAATAACTCCTGTGTAGTGACATGGAATACACCATCTTTCCTTTTTTTAATCTATTTGTGGCAGTTATTATGGTATAAGAATTTAATAATGAGCATACCACTAATACCTCAAAACAGTGTGTGTGTGTGTGTGTCTGTGTGTGTGTGCATGCATGAGCGTGTGCATGTGTGTTTGTAATTCTATAGACAAATCTCAGTCTGTATTTCATCTGCATTAGGAAGGTTCCAAAAATATAACTGAGGCCAGGGATGGCAGCAGGTGGCTGTTAGAAAGTCTTTGACAAGTAAGGACAAATGTAACTGGAAACATTATGACAATTATGCTGCTTAACTATTTGTAGTGATGAGTACTGGTCTTTGATTTTTCATATAGAAATAGCTTTACTGGGAAAATGAATAAAATTAAAACTTTTGACATAATTCCTTATCACTCTATAATGATTGGCTATCCTGCAGTCAACCTTAAATTTCTTGTATCTCCCACAGCTAGTACATCCTCTTTGCATGGAGTAGTTGCTCAAAAATGGCATCAACAGAAATGCAATATATTTGAAAGAAATCGCTCTTGAAGTGCTTAGCAGTTTCGGGCACATCACTTACAGTCTTCTCCAGAATAGAGAATCACTGACTGAGGCTCAGGGCCGGAGCCAAGGTGATTGACAGCTTGGACTTGGACATCATAAGGAGCATAGACAGTAGGCGTCATCACCCGCAAGGTGTGGTTTGTGACGGTTTCTTCTTCCCACTCCACGGGGGCTCCCTGTGGCTTCCAGGTCACTCTGTACTCCAGTCCTGGTCCATTCTGCTCCATTGGTTTCAAAGGCTAGGACAGAAGGCAAGACTCCTCTAGTGTGATCGCAGATATGCTGAGTCAGAGACAGTGACAAGCCTCTCCAATGGCAATAAGAAACACTACAACAGAGGGATCCTGTCTTGGAAGATTTTAAATCCCCCTCTTTGGTTTAGAAACACTTGTGAAAATTTTTTCTTTCTGTAAGTTTAGATTTGAAAGTTAGTCCCTCCCCTCCCTAAGCAGTAAGAAGCCCACAATTTAGATGCCTTGATTATGCCCCTGTGATTAAATCTCACTGTTCATATATGAAAGAATTTACTAAGAAATTCCACAGAGGATTTTTGCTTTTGTCTATGCTTTCCTCTATACTCTTACTTTTTTACTCCCAAAGAACTGGAAGATACAGAAAGGACATGATCATGAATTGTATGGTTGTGAGAGAGATTTCCCATGACTTTTCAGTCAGAACTCTTTCTATCTGACTCCATCCATCCTTCCCCATCTGCCTTCCAAAAGAAGAGAGATTGAGTAAACCTTTATTTCTGGATAATCGGTGTGTTATACATTAGTGCCTAGAAGATAGAGCTCCTCTCTCTAATAAAATAATTCCCCAGCTTCTTGACTATTTCTTTAAGAGAGAGTGCTCCCCACCCCGCAACCCCATCCCCACTTCCACTTTCTTTTGCTGGATAGGAAAATTTAGTGAAGGAATTTCTAGTATAGGGAATTGGTTATTTCCACTTTAGTTTTTTTTAATTAAGCAATATTTTAATTAAAAAATTAATGTGATTTAAATCACCTGTTTCATTTCAAAAATGGGAATATGTATTCAAATGAATCATATATAGACTACATAAAACAATGTGACTTAAGTCCTAGATTATAAGGTTCACCTATATAAACAGTAATTTTGTCTCTCTCTATATATGTGTGTGTATGTATGTGTGTGTGTGTATATATATATATATATATATATATCTGATATACATCAGGGAGCCTGGATGACTTAGTCGGTTAAGCATCAGACTCTTGATTTCCACTCAGGTCATGTTTTCAGGGTCGTGAGATGGAGCCCCGCACCGGGCTCTGCACTGGGGGTGTGGAGCCTGCTTAAGATTCTCTCTCTCCCTCTGGCCCTCCTCCTACTGCTTGCTCTCTCTCTCTCTCAAAATAATAATAAAATGAAATGAAATGAAATGAAATGAAATGAAATAAACAAAATAAAATAAATAAAATAATAAATAAAATAAAATAAAATAATGTCATATACAATGTTTTCTTACAGAATTTGCAATGCTTCTTGACTCAATCTAACTTAGTAAAATATTTTTAGATGGACTGGTTGGAATTAGGTTGAAAGTAATGCTGTATCAGGAAAACAATTTCAAGTCTATGCTAACTCCAAGGTGAATATTTAAATTAGCTATGAGAAAAAAAATCAGAACAAAACCTTTCTGAGATTTCACAACCATTATTTATACTTTGCATTCTAAGTTTTGCACCAAGATAATTTTCACTACCATACAAATATAAATCCACCAGGGCCTTTAGCAGTGCCCAGATGAATCAGGCCAGAAGCTTTTAGTTTCATACTACAATCTGGAATTACAATTTCCTTCAGTCTCTACCAACAATAAATGAGTACAAATAAAATTATTCAATTTACACATGTTTTGTTCCAAGGAAAGGAGCTACATTTAATAAAGCTCTCCTGTAAATTTTAAAATAAAACTGCCACCATAATTAATACTTTTAAGAAAAATCTTATCTAAATTACCAGGCCCTTTGGTGCCTAGACTCCAGAAGAAACAGCAGGAGAATTCTGTATTTGCTTTCAGACAATGGGCAACAAAACCACAGCAAATTCTTAAACAGGCCCCCAACAAAGATAGCAGACCAGAGGAGCCAAAGCAGAGGTGGGAGTGGGGGTCTTCTTTTCATCACTGACTGAGCGCATGACATCTGGGGAAGGTCATTAAAATGAGAGTCCCAGCTCTCTCTATGAAATGTACGGCTGATACCATCCAGCTCCTGTCTCCCTTCTGAAGGAGTGCTGAGGATTAATGAGCTGATGTTGGTGGAACATGGTGTGCTTCTCTGAGGAACTGACCTGATAATTACATACTATTATTTTCAGCTAACCAGTTATATCATCTATCTTATGGAAATTGCTAGGGAACTTAGGAGAGAAAAAGACAGATACTCTACAAGAATGAGATATTAACATAATTTCAGATTATAAATTAAGCAATTATGAAGACAATGTGGTAGCAAATATGTGTGGCCACAAATTCAAGGAAAGAAACGATATTCTTGAATATACTTAGATTCTGTGTATTACCAATTTTTTTCCAATTTTAAATTTGCAAAACTTAATTTCACTGAAGTGGGAAAAGTGGGTTAGTGTTGATATAAAAATATTGAGTGAAAAAAATCAGACTAAACTTTATACCTCCTAAAATTCTTCCCAAAATCATATCTGGAAAAAGGTTTGGAAATGAATTAGTGTATTCCCGCATAAATTCAAAAATGTTCTACATTTGGGGCACCTGGGTGGCTCAGTAGTTAAACATCTGCCTTCAGCTCAGGTCATGATCCCAGGGTCCTGGGATCGAGCCCCACATTGGGCTCCCTGCTCAGCGGGGAGCCTGCTTCTCCCTCCCCCACTCCCCCTGCTTGTGTTCCCTCTCTCGCTGTGTCTCTCTCTGTCAAATAAATAATATGTAAAATTCAATGAATTTAAGGTTGGAAGTCTATTATTAATCAGAATGTCTGAATGGTAATCTATATTCAAGTAGGTTAAATTATTTGTTCATGAATATGTCCGCATAGAGGGGGGAGAAAGTTACCCACTGTTACAGAAGGAATTTAGAAATGACACTCAAAACAATTAAAGTTCTCTGAACAGATATAAAATTTTACACCATATTCAAAGACAAAAGTCTATTTCATAACCTTTAATAGAAATATGTAAAGGGGTGAAAAGTGCAATTTGAAGTCCAAAGATACTTATGGTAGGTTTGTTGATTTCTAGTGGTATTTTAGTGGTATGGTGACAGGCAAGACTGCCTACCACCCTGTCCTCAGTTCCTATATCTAGAAAAAGGCAATAATGACAAAGCTGTTCTCAGAAAAGAGCATACAAAATGCTTAATAGTGCTTAAAAGGAGCGGCTATTTATTTGTCAGACATCCTTCTGATATGCATAATATTTATTAGACCATGTACTAAAATTTAGGAAAGTTTTTCAGTATTTTTTGAACAAGAGACGATTTAGAATATTGGTTGTAAAAATACTAGGAATCTGAAACTTTTGATAATGGCTTGCAATTAAATCAACCTGTAAAACCTTCCTTACATTATTTACCACTGTTTAACTATATCTCATAACATTTTAATCACAATGATCTATAAAATATACAAATGAAATATATTTATAAAACATACAAATCTTATAACTTTGTTCCTAAAAAATATTTTTCTATCATTACACTTAGCATGCAGACCTAAAATAAAGAAAAAAAGAACACAAAGTAGTGTATAACACATTAGAGAATACACACCTCCCATTTTATAATCATTTCCTTGGGTTGAGAGGCTTGAACCCTTATGTTTTGTGGATTCTTGTCTGGAGCTGAAAAATTGTAAGTATTAAAATTACTTTTTGCAATTTTATGGTCCATAGGTAAATCAGCACATCATCCCACCACCCCCTAAATCAGATTTTTAAATAACTTTGATTGTATTCATTTATTTCTATCTGGCCCAGTTTGTAAAGACTTTTCACCAGCTTTATTGAGAGACAATTGACATAAAACACTGTGTAAGTTTAAGGTATACAATGTAATAGTTTCATATATGTGTGTGTTTATAGATCTGTGTGTGTGTATATATCTCCAATCTATAGATAGACATTTTATATTTATGTGTATATATTGTAAAATGATTACCACCATAAGGCTAGTTAACACACCCATGGCCTCACAAAGGCAGCTTTTAAATATATATTTTATTTAAAGGAGTAAACTCATATGCATGAAGTGATACTATTATTATTCAATGGGAAGTAGATTTACTTTAGATATCATTTTAAAACTGCTCTTTAAATTTTTCAACCTGCTTTTTTAAAAATAATCCTAAACCTACTTTTTTTTTAATCCTTTCTCTTTTTTTTTTTAAGATTTTATTTATTTATTTGACAGAGAGAGAGAGAGGCACAACCAGAGAGGGAACATAAGCAGGGGGAGTGGGAGAGGGAGAAGAAGGCTCCTGGCTGAGCAGGAAGGCAGATGCAGGGCTCCATCCCAGGACCCTGGGATCATGACCTGAGCTGAAGGCAGATGCTTAACGACTGAGACACCCAGGTGCCCCCTAAACCTACTTTTTAAATATACATTTTAATTTTAAACCTGCTTTCCTTTTTCTATTAGAATTATTGTTAGAAATGTGTGTTGTGAATATCTACCTCTAAGCTAATAAAATTAAACATCATCATGTATTAATTTCAACAGCCAACTATTAGGGACAACAAAAAGGTAACAGCAGATAATGTGCCCGTGAAATATATTCAAATGGATCCATTTAATAAGAAAGGGCTAAGTGTAGTTTTACTGACAAATGCAACTTACATTTCAATCACACAAGTATCTGATTCAGTCACTATCTCTTCTTGTTTTTTCCTCAATCCAAAATGGAAATTATACCCTAGCTTATTTATTTTGCTCCAGGGAAAAAAAAAATAATACCATGCTATGATCACACTGTTGACCAATGACAATTAAGTAATAACACAAATTTTAGTATTAATCATTCTTGAGATTTAAAAAAAAATTCTAGAAATTTAGATAGATATCAGATATCTATTTAGATATTAAGAAACAATAAATATAGTAAATGTATAAAAGTAATGATATGAAATAATTAAGGTGCCTACAGTGAATGTTTTATTTCAGAAAGTTGAATAAAAAGAAAAATAAAGGGAGAAAGCTCATTTTCTATATATTGAACCTCAGTTTATAACATACTTGATATCTGATTTTAACATGAGACTTATCTATCACGAATAACTCAGAGTAATGTTTGCCCATATACCTCCCTGTAATCTCCGGCTCTCTATCAAACATATATACTACTTATGAATCTGATGTACTTTGAATATTTGTGTGCTGTCAGTTCACAGAACTTTTCAAGCTCTCTAGGAGAAGAAATTGAAAACCCTACATCTTCGGCGCCTGGGTGGCTCAGTAGGTTAAGCGCCTGCCTTCAACTCGGTTCATGATCCCAGGGTCCTGGGATCCAGTCCTGAATCGGGAATCCCTGCTCAGTGGGGAGTCTGCTTCTCCCTCTACCCCTCCCCCCTGCTCATGATCTCTCTCCCGCTCGCTCTCTCTCTCAGATAAATAAATAAAATCTTTGAAATATAAAAAAAATAAAACCCTATACCACACTATCAATCTTTTTCTAAAGATGTTGAAAGATGGAGAAAACTAAAATATTTTCTCAGAAAATATGAGAAGCCACATACCTGCCGGAGGTGTTTCATGATGGTCCGACGGCTGGCTGGGTTGGCTTCTCCCTACTTCATTCACGGCTATGACCCTGAACTGGTATCTGACGTATGGAGCCAAAGATAGTGTGACTATTGTTTCTTTGCCTTGGACTCTAGCCAATTCCTCCCATCGACCAGGTTCTTCTTTATTTCCTTCAAATTCAACAATATACTCTGGCCGTAGAAAGTAGAAGCATAGAGGGAAAAAAAAATCAAAAACATTAGAATGGATTTAGTATTTTTAAGTTACACTAACATTTACACACAGTATAAAAAGTTTTAAAGGATGTTTTAAGAAGGATTATCTAGCAACTGTGGTTAAAAAAAAAAAAAAAAGGCTTGAATATTAATTTTGACTCAGGAGTGTAAGGAGCATAGTTATCCCAAGTCCTCCCTACCGCTAATATGGCTATTGTGGTCATCTCCAGCTTCCCACGTCAGCCGAACACTTCTGTTCTGTCTTTCAGACAATTGTAGGTTCTCTGGTGGATCCGGAACATCTAATTAATAATAAAAATAAAAGTAGGGAGAATGCAGACCATGCCTTTGTAACCCCATTTCCTCACCAAGGCACATTGCCACGCCCTTTCTCTCTGGGCTCTGGTCTCTAGGTCCAATCATCCACATCTCAGCAGACCTTCTGGCTCTTTTTTTTTTTTTTTAAGATTTTATTTATTTATTAGAGAAAGAGAGAGAGCACAAGCTGGGGGAGAGGCAGAGAGAGAGAGAGAGAGAGAGAGAGAGAAACTGGCTCCCCATGGAGCAGGAAGACCGACACGGGGCTCGATCCCAGGACCCAAGGATCATGACCCAAGCCAAAGGCAGACACCCAACCAACTGAGCCACCCAGGCGCCCCAACCCTTCTGGATCTATTTCAAATGCAGCTTCAGGCCCATCTACTCCCTTCTGTAATATTCTCACCCTCTACTCTGATTCCAGTTCTCAAAGGGTATCCTTGACCATGGTTATCAGAATTCTTTTAGGAGTAGTTATTAGCAATGAAGCTTTGGGGAACCTGGGTGGTACATTTGGTTGGACAACCGACTCGGTTTCAGCTCAGGTCATGATCTCAGGGTCATGAGATGGAGCTCCGGCCCCGTGCTCAGCATGGAGTCCACTTAAGTTTCTCTTTCCCTTTCCTTCTGCCCCTCCCCCTGCTCTCTCTCTCTTTCTAAATATAAACAAATAAATCTTTAAAAATAAATCAAGATTGGGGCACCTGGGTGGCTCAGTCATTAAGTGTCTGCCTTCGGCTCAGGGCATGATCCCAGGGTCCTGGGATCGAGCCCCGCATTGGGCTCCCTGCTCAGCAGGAAGCCTGCTTCTCCCTCTCCCACTCCCCCTGCTTGTGTTCCCTCTCTCACTGTGTCTCTCTCCGTCAAATAAATAAATAAAATCTTTAAAAATAAATAAATAAAAATAAAAATAAATGAAGATTTATTTCTGGACCCTAGATCTCTCTGGCATACTGCAGGAGCTGGGCCCAGGAATCTGCATTTCTAAACGATTGCCCTGGGTTATAATTATGCACAATTTTGAGAAACATGATCTACCTCAAGTAGATCCGTGTCTTTCAGCTCATATGCTTATTTATATGCCTGATTCATTTCCTGTATACGACAGATCTTCAAGAGTAGGCCTGCATTTTATTAATATTTGCATCACCAACAGTGCTTTGCATATAAATGTTTTGGGACTAAATGAATAAGTGAATAGTATATTATCATTTCAATCATGCATGTAATTACCATATTAGAGCAATAAAATTAGGTCCTATGACTATAGGAAAATAAGATAAAGAATATGAACTCAGGTTTTCTTTTCTGCATGCTTTGGATTTTTATTGTAATTTCTAACAATGAATTCTCAGTACAGTATAGCAACTTTATACTCTCTTGGCCTAGAGTTTTGAAAGAGTAGGAAGGCAGTTTATATTGGAAGAGAAAAATTTGGCACTGATAAATATTGTGTCAGAAACTATAAAACTGAGTAGGTGATGACTTTTTTTAAGTTTTTATTTAAATTGCAGTTAGCTAACATACAATGTAATATTCATTTCAGGTGTACAAAATAGTGACTCAATACTTCTATACATCACAACCAGTGCACTCCTTAATCCCCTTCACCTATTTGACCCATTCCCCCCACCCACCACCCCTCTGGTAACCATCAGTTTGTCCTCTATAGTTAATAGTCTGTTTCTTGGTTTGCCTCTCTCTTTTTTTCCCCCTTTGCTTTGTTTCTTAAATTCCACATATGAATGAAAAGATATAGTATGTCTTTCTCTGACTTATTTTGCTTAACATAATACTCTCTAGCCCACCCATGTTGCTGCAAATGGCAAGATTTCATTCCTTTTTATGGCTAATTATATGTATGTATATGTACACACACACACACACACACACACACACACACACACACACACACACTACTTCCTTTTTATCCATTGATCAGTTGATGGACACTTGGGGTGCATGTATACTTTTAATTTAGTATTTTTGTATTCTTTGGGTAAATATCTACTAGTGTGATTGCTGGATTGTAGGATAGCTCTATTTTTAGCTTTTGGAGGAATCTCCATACTGTTTTCCACAGTGGCTGTACCAGTTTGCATTCCCACTAATAGAGCAAGAGAGTTCCCCTTTCTCCACATCCTTGCCAACACCTGTTGTGTCTTGTGTTGTTGGTTTAGCCATTCTGACATGTGTGAGGTGATATCTCATTGTAGTTTTGATTTGCATTTCCCTGATGATGAGTGATGTTGAGCATCCTTTCATGTGTCTATTGGCCATCTGTATGTCTTCTTTGGAAAAATGTATATTTATGTCTTCTGCCCATTTTTTAACTGGATTATTCAGTTTTGGGGTTTTGTAAGTTCTTTATATATTTTGGATTCCAAGTAGGTGATGACTTTAAGAGTGTTAAGAGTTTCCATGGAAATTTTTATTAAAATAAAAGCAACTGTAAAACAAAACAAACAAAGAAAGAAAACTTATCCCTAATGGTCTTTACTTCCAAAATTTGGTTTCAATGCTCTCTTGTATTCAGGGACATTTATCTTTTCTCAGAGGAGATAATTAAGTAATATCTCATAGGGCTTTCCCATGGGCTCTTTATTCTCCAAGTGGGAAGCAACATCTATCACCCATGCTGAGTACTCGCCGACTGCTGGAAATTTACACTGGCAAAAAATACATTGTTTTAAAATGTGGTCACTGACTGTGCATAAACTTTAGGGCCTTAAATAAATTATTTCCTCAACAGTTCTCAGATCTGTGAGCTCAGAGAATTTACATTTGTCTTCAGCACTGAAGAGCTCACGCATTTTTAAACTTACCTGAAGGAACCAATACAGCCTGTAGCATCTGACATTAAAATGTGCTTTTTCCAGAATATGGAACTAAGCTGATGGGCTGCATTGATCCTTAAAAGACTGATACTCTTAAAGGACAGTTACTTCTAATTGAAATGGGTCAAGCATGTTTGCAAAAATTGTTTTGTCAGGAAAAGGGGTTTTTATAAAAACTACACAGGGATCTAGTTGTTATTGTCCGTTAGTGAGATATGCTTCCTAAGACCAAGGATTGGTCTAAAAAATTAGAAGGCAAACTCCTAGAAAGTGGTTAAGAAAATGAAATCTGTGTCATAGAATATTTTTAAGTTAATTTACTTTTATTCTTAAAAAATTGGTAAAAAAAACTTCATATGTAAATATTACATACAATCATAGCAATTATTTATTAAAATTATCAAAATTTAATGGTTCTAGAAGATGGTAGCCTAATTACAAGATTGAAATATTAAATTTTATAAGGCAATTTGACAGCATGAACCAAGCAGTAGGGAGCCCAATCCCTTTGCTGGCTCCAGAGCTCAAAATATTGAGGAACAAAGTCTATGGATCCTGAGACTTACCCCTACACTTGTGGTGGCCTGGAATAAACTCCAGTGTTACCTGAAGCTCCACTATTTTATCTGGTGACTTACTAGTGAAATAATTCCTACAGGGTGGAAACTTTGTGTTTGTAGTCCCCTAAGTAGCTGAATTCCTATGGCCAAACATCTCACCTAAAGGTACAATTCTACTGAACCAAGCCCATTCCCTCTACTACCTGGGCACTGTGTGTGTGTGTGTGTGTGTGTGTGTGTGTGTGTGTGTGTGTGAGAGAGAGAGAGAGAGAGAGAGAGAGAGAGAGAGAGAGAGAGAGAGAGAGTATAGAACCCAGTCTGGTGACCATTTGCTTCACTTGAAGAGCTCCATCCTGTTTACTCATTTTTCACATCCAACCTCCAAAGAAACTGAATTATTTCCTCTCAGCCTGTACTTCTGTTAGCAACCTACCTGCGGATCCCAGCAACCAGAGAGCTAAAGATACAAACACCTGTTAATAATAATGATTAATCTACACATCTAATAAAGGAGTTTAGGCAAAATCAAACACTTTCAAAAAATATCAGAAAACTAAAAGAAAGACTAAATGGTGCCCACGGAAACAAAATTATAAAAGAAAACTATAAAAAAAATGTTTCTATCAACCAGGGTCCCAGCAGAAATTAAACAGTTCACACAATTTGGATAGTACCAAGAGTTGTTGTTGTTGTTGTTGTTTTTTCAAAGGATCATTGGCAGAATACCTGGGGTGAGGGTAGAGGGAGCAGTTAACAGAATCTTATCAGGAAGGATTTTGTGAAGAGATCCTCCCTGGGAGAAATCAATGACTTTGGACACAGCCTGCAGGGAGGGAATTTGGAGAATAAACACACCCACCCACCCATCCTCCTCTATTTCCAGAGCTCCCCACTGGCGGAACCAAATGGAAGTTTGAGTGTGAGTGGTTTGTTGGTGTTGTCCGCATCCCTCAGGTTAACATATCAGAGAGGTTGTGGAGAGTGAATCTGGCAAGGGAACTGAAGCAGAGATGGTCTAGGAGATGGTTTCAGCGCTAAGGGTGGTCTAAGAGATGCTCCAGGCTGGTCTAAGAGGTTTAAAGATGGGTGATTGCAGGGCTAATTGTGTTGATTACACTAGTGCAGTATGCAAAGCATTTCCTAATTAGCATTATCATTAAAAAAAAAAAATCAATGGCATTCCTTTGCAGAACTCTTGAACCCTGCTCCTTTCCTGGAACACTGAGAACTCAATCCGAGTCTCTGGTTTAGAGCATGACCACTGAGCCACCACCACGGGAAGCCCAGGCTGATCTCCCCAGCCTAACCCATCTCCATTCCTCAGTTCTATTTCTCTGCATGCTAGGAAAGGGCAGCTCGAGTGCCCTGACAACTCGAGCATGCTTCTGTTTTCTTTCCGCCCATTAACATCGCCTACCTCCCACGGCTATTGGCAACATTACCCATGCAGTGAAAAGAAATTAAGCATTAACTAATTTCTTTAAAGCCAGAAGAGGAGAAAGCATTTGAAAGTGGAATGACTATTTAAATGAAAAATTCAAACGAACAGTATACGTGCAGGCACTCAAATAATTGTTGATTTAACGGCCTAAGAACAATGGAATTTAATCAGTGATGGGGAAGAAATGAACAGAGATTTCTCGTTAGTGCACTTACCGAGGACAGTTACTTGAGTTACATCAGTAACACTATCCAGAGCAGTTTGAGCTGAACAGGAGTAAATACCTTGATCCTCTAAGGTGACATTAGATATCGTCAAATTAGCTCCATCGATAATTATCCTACCAGTAAAAAAATTGAGTACACAATGAGGATGAAAACAACAGAAACATATATGCAAAAATATATATTCCCCAAAGGAAAAAAAATTCAAGAGTCAACAAAACAAAACACAGCTTCACATGATGCAAATTTTATTGGTGCTACAGTTGAAACTGGAGATGAAATGTCACTTGAACGACTGTCTACACAGCCATGAAAGCTATCAGTTGGTTTGGTTTTGTTTTAATTACCAAGTCCAGCCATCTGTGATGCATGGGTCAGTGACAGAACTGTGTTGCCTGGTGTTTCTAACGACTGTACTATGTTATAATAGTTAAGATACATTTGGATAATTCTTAAGGTTTGTTAAGGGAATCACCTACATAGGATCAACTGGGGCGCTTCTTACAAAGGTATATTCCTGAATCACGCCCACATCTACAGAGCCAGACTGACCTGGAGTCTGGTAATCTGTGTTTTTGACAAGGGTCCTTTTTCTCCACCCCTCTACTTCACATGTAGAATGACCATCTGATAAATCTGGTAACAATTGCACTGGGATTTTTTTTGAACAGTAGAGGGCAGACTAGTACCGCTTTTTTGCAAATCACTGGCCACTAGCTTTTTATCATTTGTTCTATTTGCCAATTTGTAATCCAGTTTAGGACACGAAAATTTCTTTACTATAAATTATACCTTTTACCCTATATCTATGTATTGTCAACTTAACTATTTAAGCACTTTTAGGAAAATTAAGTTCCACTAAATTGAAATATATTTACAACAGTTTGCTATGTAGTTGAAATAAATAATGTCCTTGTGGAAGGGACTTATATGATTGCCATTTCTGATGTATAACTCACTTAACCTCTTCGGCCCCCTGCCTACCTACCAATAAGAAGTTGTCCCAGCAGAACGTGAAAGACAGGAGCTTACTAATGGTTAGCAGATACCTGTGATCTCAGCTCCCTGCTAGAATTCCATGCCCACTCCGGGCCCCAGTCAACCCCAGCAGCAAGTGTTACTCCCAGCCTTCCCCACTCCAGAGATCTCTTCTAAGAGATTCTAGCTAAGGTTACTGTTCTTCACCCCTACCCTAGGGAAAAATGGCAGAACATCTGTGTCACTTTGCTTAGTTCACTGAGATAGAGGTTCATTTGAGTGTCAGCCCCAGGAGCCTACAGAAACTATTCAACTGGGCCACACAGAGGATGTTTGGAGTTTCTGGGATCAGGGCCTAAATATGCAGGTCCCATCACCAACTAGGCACCAGTCTCTGATTCCCTTTTTGGCTGTAGCCCAGAGGTTATATGCAAGACCCCAGGCAACTAGGCAGTAGTGACAAAAGATGGAGAATATGGAGAGATCCCAGCAGTTGATAGATCGCCTTAAGACCTAACCTAAGGGTGAAGATCTCTATTGCAATGTGTAGTCTTTTAGGTCCATAATTAATCTCTTGTCTCAGTGACAACTAGTTGTTAATACATACGCTCCTTTCCACAAACTCTTATGTATGCAGGAGGGATGAGATGGAATCAATTAAGTACCCAGCCGAGACCAAAGCCCCTGCACGGAGGTGGTGCAAGCACATGCTTGCACACACACACAATAGGGGACAAGCAGGTGCGAGAAACGAGAGAAGCCATTAAATGTCTGCAGACATTAGTACAAATCATGAGAGCTAAACTGGACTGAGTACTTCGTGTTTTCTGAGTGCTAGGTATGTTAACTCATCAATAACCCCATGAAGGTATCTCTGAGTGTAAAATTAAGGCATAGAAAAGCTATGCAGCTGGTCTAAAGTCATAGACATAAGAAGTGACCAAAGTGAGATTTAAATCCAGGCCATTGGACTCAAGTCCATGCTCTTAATTACCACCCTGCCACAGTCTCACCAAAGGAATGCACGTTCTAACTTCAGATTTATTTTTTCAGAATGACGAATAACAACATAAAACCGCAGGTGAGATTTGGCTAAGGATGGTCTATTTCTAACCCCTACTTAGTCACAATGCAAAAGACGAGAGAGCTAACCTCTGTATGCTTTCAAAGGATAGCATAGGCATTCAGTAAATATTGATTCTTTTCTCTTTCTCTGATATACTTAATACTGTCTAATGCTAGCCAGTATCTTTTCACAATTCCTTCCACATTCTCTCTTCTGTGTTTTTTTCTGTGTTCTCCATATGGAGATTAGGAGGCTTAACAGTGGATTTGTCAATACTTTCTAACTGGAAGGACTGGCGGTATGACTCAGGTTCTGCCCATTCATGAGATAGACTCATCAGAGTTTGGGATGGAAACGGGTGACAGGCAGGGTCCCCTCTGGGGCCATGTGAGCAGATATGCTTCACACACCTGGAGTGGGCTCTGTTTCATGCACTAACAGAAGGACACACATTCTACAAAAAGTCAGCAGCAAAAAGCAGCAGCCAACCATGGGAGAGAAAAGTGAAACCCTGCACTGCATTACCTTTTAAATGTTGCCGTGAAGACTGAAATGTATTAATCACTTTTTGTATTTTACTTCCATGTGAACACATTTACAACTATTTTTTTTGCAAGTGCTCAGTGTTGATCCCAAGCCAGGACGACGACAGAGCATAACCCCTTCCCTACCTGCCATCCTCTGTGGCATTAATTTCAAAGGCTTCTCCATTCTTACTCCAGGACAACTTCAAACTCTGCCTCAAATGTGGGTCGCACGTGCTCTCACAATGTAACTCAAGCACGTGCAGTCTAGGGACTCGAGGATTCTTAGGAGCAACTTGAAGTTTTGTAGCATCTGTTTTTAAGCAAACAAAGAGACTAGTGAGACGCTTACATCCCAGCTTACTTGGCGATCAGATGCCTGCGATTTAATCAACCCCAACTGTCGACGGAACAGTCTGATCCTCACGCAGTGTTTGTCGTGCTGTAATTTCCTGACATCATGTTTCATTACCATTTTCTTTCCATCAGGCCTGGACCTCTGAGGAATTAGGAATTAATATCTTAGAAGTTCCCCTTACTACCTCTTGGGCAAAGGGAGTAAAGAAGAGTGGGAGCCAACAAATGTCTTTAGAGGTTGAAAAAATATAATTTCCCTTTCTAGTGCTTCTGGTCATGTGATCACACCACCATAAGGGGAAAAAAAGGAAATTAACTGATTTTCTATTAACGTGTTTATTAATAATTCAGAAACTCGGGGTAAAGCCCATGCAAGGTTATCTATCAACATGAAGGTGGGAAATTAGAACTTAAGCCCGGTGAAGAAGAGGCTGTGTCTGTTTTGTTACATGAAGTATCCGCACAGCCCAGAAGGGACCCTGTATACAGGAAGCACTTAACACATATTTCTTGAAATTCTTGTTGAATGAGGTATAGTGAGTGATATTTTAAAAGTAAATTAGTGGTACCCATAATCTGAAGCTCAAAAATTTAGCTTCAAATTCAAATATATCAAATAAATTCAATTCAATTTCAAATCAAATGAATTAAAAAGAATCACATTTGGCTGTCTTTAAAATGTCTGCTCATTATGGCTGTTTCAAAATATAGGATCCTTATTCTTAGAGGCCATATTAAGGGTAGATGTACTTTACCCCACTGTACCACTTGGTGACCCTCTCAGAGGCCAAATCTCATGAGCTGACCTCCAATTCCACAATACGTTTTAATAGTCACTATCTACATGTTACTACATGAACTGATTAAAAATTGAAAGTGATAGGGGCGCCTGGGTGGCTCAGTCGTTAAGCGTCTGCCTTCGGCTCAGGTCGTGACCCCAGCATCCTGGGATCGAGCCCCGCATCGGGCTCCTACTCAGCAGGAAGCCTGCTTCTCCCTCTCCCCCTCCCCCTGCTTGTGTTCCCTCTCTCACTATGTCTCTCTCTGTCAAATAAATAAACAGAATCTTAAAAAAATTGAAAGTGATAAAAAAAAGATCATTCGGTATCCTAAGCATGAAACTTGAAGAGATTATTTAATTGAATTAATTGTAAGTGAATTATTAAACATCTACTCCTATTTCTAAATTTAAAGCCAGAGGTCCACTTAATAATAATAGATACCATTTAATAAAGTCCTTATTCTATCGACCAGGACCTCTGCTACGAAGTTCATGGTCACATAACAGTTTATAATAATTCTACAAATATTAATATTTTCACCTTACAGAGAACATAAGGCTAAAATGAAATTAAGTAACACCAAAGTTTCCCAACTGGTAAGGGGTTGAGCTGGAATCTGAACCTAAGTTTGCCAGAGACCAAAGCTCTTGCTTTCAAACACTATGCAATATAGTCTCTTACTCAATTCCACTCCAGAAATTTCTTTTTTTATATGCAAAAATTGTGGTTTTATCCTTCACTGATAAGATTCCTATATATGCCTTACATATAAAGTGGATGTTTAGAGCAGATGAAAAGTTCATGACCCTGTCCATCCCTTTATCAATTACAGTTCTGAGGTCCACTCTGGGCCAAGCGCTGTGTAGGGCAATAGGAAGGTGAAGGTTCATTCAGATTCCAGGCTTCCCGCTCTTTGACTTTGAATCCGACTGAGTTGCTAAACTTTGATATAGGTTGGTTGTATAAAGAATAAAAAGAATCATCTTCACATACTTCACAAGGGCATTTTGAAAATTGTCCATGACACATAAACACCCGGGCAGACGTGAGAGTTAAGCAGACATATGAAGAGAATATTTATGTGCTTTAAAAATACAGTCCACACAACATAATAAAATAAAATTAAAAAAAAAATACAGTCCATGGGGTTGGCATGTGGACTTAGGGTACAAAAAAACCAAATACTGTAAAAGAATATAAGACAGAAGAAAAACAAGGAAGGGAGGGTATGTGTGTGAAGAGAGAGAGAAATATCAGGATATCCATGAAAACGATGATTCAACAAATATACTTGTCATCTAAGCAGCGGCAGTGTAGGCTATGATAATAACATGTCACATGCAATATAGATCCTCCCTACAGTCACTGTAGGATCTCTCTATTATGTTTTCCTGAGAAGGATTTTCGGAGCAATTTTAAAACCAAAATACTAGTGGAACCCAGGACTTTGTTCTGAAGAGAGAAAAAAATGCAAAGCGGTTTATGATGCAAAAAGAGGATAAAAAAATCTTCTGTCCTGTCATGCCCCAGTCTTTATGAAACTGAACTTTTATGGGTTTGTGAAATTTTTAGCTCCAAGAGTTGATTGCTGATGACTTTATGTTGAGTTGGTTACTGAAATAAAATACAGTCACAGAAATATCCCAAAATAGAGCATTTTAAATTATTGCCAGTCACCCTCCAAATACCTAAGTCCCTCTTAAAATTGTAAAAAGCCATGAGCATATCATCAGCACATCCTATAATTTTTGTGACAGTCTTTTCGATAAAACACAATCTGGGAGCTTAGAAATACAGTCTAAGAGCTTTAACAGGCACTCAATAAATCATATTGTTTTATTTGGGAAAATGAAGACAAACTAAACCCATGTGAGAATTCATGCAAAGTAAAACCAAAATAAAAATACTTCTAATATCCAAGTTGGCTGTGACTGCGGTTTTTCCTTTAGCATTTTCTACCCAACAAGAGTATGAGCCAGCATCATCTTCTGTGGTTTTGTTGATCTGCAATGTGCCATTTTCGTGGACATGGTACCGTCTACCTTCAAGAGGTTTCGCCTCTTCCACCTTCTGCCTATGAACACAGAAAACATAAATCAATTTTAGACGTGACAGAACTGTAGATGCTTCCTGAAACTGGTTGCTGATGTCATTCAAGCTTACCCTTTCTTCAGGAGCTCTGCAGACCTTATGAAATGTTCCATTGGGGTTTATGTTTTTCCGAGAATGGGTCCTAGCCGAGGTGTATATCTGATCTGCCCAGATAGACTGTGACTAGAGGAAATCCGGGTCTGTGCTCTATGCTTCTGCTGTATTTCTCGTAGCTATAAGGACCATTTTTGCATCTGTCCTCACAGCTTAATAAATATTTTCTGGTGTATCGATGGTGAACTCTTTAGTTAATGATCGCTTCAGGGTTCTAAATGGGAAAGCTAGTAATTGAAAGAGATAATGAACCTCTGAACCTCCTGCCATCCTGGGGGAACACTGGTCATTCAGAAATATTATAGGGCCGGGAAGCAGTTCCTGTCCCGTGGACATGGATTACATTTGCCCTTATCAACCCAGAGTCATTTTCTCCTACATTCATCCATTTTCTGAGCATTTGCTGCCAAAGCTTGATTTACCCAGTACATTTCACAATAAGAGGCTCTGCTAGAATAACAACAACAAAAAAAAAAAATTCAAAGGGTAAACTCTGGCTGTCATTCACATGGGACTTTCTAGAGCTTGGGACTAGGGCAAGGCCAGTTAGGCACTTGCCTCAGAGGTAAAATGTAAGGATTGCCAAAAAATCTCAGGACTCAAGATAAATCGTATTTTAATGGAGTTATTTTTAAAAAATAAAAAACACAAAAAAAATCCATGATAAGCAAAATATCCAATTTTTAAATAAAGACAGGATCTGACCCTACCCTTGCCTGACCCTGCCTCCCCCTCCTCACTCTAATCTCAGCCCTGCAGAGCCATGGCAGGCTTATTTAAGAACAGTTCATCCAAGCTTTTCTGGTGAAGTAACAAATATGGCAGATCCACACGAGGCGTCTGGACTTATTACACAAATAGATACATTGAAATTAAATTCAAAATACATGTTGGAAAAGTTTTAAGCACGTGTTTGGAATCAAATGCATGCTTAGACAATTATTTAGAAAAGACCCAAAACAACAAAAAAAAGTACAGTTAAGTCTGAACAACATGGGTGTGAACTGCCGGGTCCACTTGTATATGAATTGTTTTCAGTAAATATATTGGAGAAATTTTTGGAAATATGCAACAACTTAAAAGAACTCACAAACTGTGTAGCCTAGAAATATGGAAAAACATTTAAGAAAAAGATGGCTATTATTACAAAAATAAAGCATGTGATACATATAACATCCTAAATGTGTGTTAATCAACTATTTATGTTATGGGTGAGGTTTCTGGTCAACTGTAGGCTATTAGTAGTTAAGTTTTGAGGGAGACAAAAGTTATATATAGATTTTCCATTGCATGGGGGATCAGCCCCAACCTCCACAATGTCCAAGGGTCAGCTGTAATATATGACTTTTGATATACTCATAATGAAAAACCAAATCTATCTGTAAAATTGTCTTAGTAATCACTTCAATTCTTTGCTTTCCTTTGTAAGCAGAAATGGCGCTCCCTAATCTCCCCATGAGAGAAAAATCCTGCACATCTAGTCAACAGTTCAGGAGAGGTAGGTAATTAAGTTTGCTACCTTATTTCTCAGAGGCATTGGCTACATTTAACAACGGCCTGTCAAATGATGGATGAAGACACAAGGTGAAATCTACCACTGACATTCTCTTAAGAAAATCTTGTACCAGCTTACCAGGACACCGTTGCCTCAGGTGAAGCAAAGAACTCGCAGTGTAAGAAAGCGCTGTAACCAACCACCGTAGCATAATTCTCTTCATCTTCAGTTTGTATCAGTGGACGGACATCTGTTTGAAAACGACATAAATACAGTTGTCAACGTTCATGTAAGAAATAATGTGCACACATTAGATTTTTCTACAGCCTAGTCATATTAACAGAAAGGGGAAACAGCCGAATATTGCAGTATATGTTCCTGAATTAGAAAAATATCCAAATTCAATACATTTTTGAAAGTATGTAGGGGCACCTGGGTGGCTCAGTCGGTTAAGTGACTATTGATTTCGGCTCAGGTCATGATCTCAGGGTCGTGAGATCGAACCCTGCATCAGGCTCTGTGCTGAGTGTGGAGCCTGCTTAAGATTCTCTCTCTCTCTCCCTTTGCCCCTTCACCCCCATTCCTGTGCACACACATGCTCTCTCTAAAAAAAAAAAAAAAGAAAGAAAAAAGAAAAAAGAAAGTATAATTTTAGTATGAAGGCTAATACCCAAGTGTTAGATGAAAGGTACTTTGATGATATCCGCCCCCCCATGTTTTATGTGTCTGGAATTCAATCTACTTGTGTGCACGACCTTGAACATCTTCCCTTAGAAAACAGCAGGTAAACAGTCTGCTTACCTACAACATCGAGATTGGCATTGGCAAGGATGGTGCCATGGACATTTGAGGCTTCACACTGGTACACAGCAGTGTGATTTGGTTGCAGGTTGGTAAAACTGATTTCTCTGGGGGAGACAACATCACCAGCAAATGGATTTTCTGCAAGAGATTAAAGAATGTCAGTTTGATAAAAAATAGGACATAAAATATTTACATGCCATTTATTAAATGTGTCACACAGTATTTATATTTTAAGACCAGTTTAGGGTGAATAATAGTTCACTGAAGCCAATTTGTAGAATTTCTTTGCATCAACCATGGGCTTTTCTTTCCAGACCCTTCTCCAATTTCAATCTTCCTTCAGATTAATATTTATTGCTAAAATATTTGTTGATCTCTAGCTCATTGCCTCTCCCTATCCATACCCATAAATAAAATTTCAGATTTTCTGTTCAGCATTCAAGTCCCTATAACTAAACCTCACTTATTCTTATAAATTTAGGTCCCAATACTGCCAAAACAAATCCCATGATCAGCATGGAGTGATCCCACCAGTCCACCAACACTGGCTCCTTTGTTCGCCATTTGACACTTCTGTTCCTCTATTTGATTTTTCTTCCCTGTGCCATTTTCTGATCTATACCATTCATTTCAGTTGTCTTGCTTTCCTATTTAACCACGTTGGATACACAGCTCATACATTTTGTTTTCACAGTAAGAGTAAACACTTCTTGAGATCAGGGGCTAGAGTTTCTACTTTTTGGCAATCAATCCAACCTTACTCCTGATCCAGGTGTAATTCTGGAAATATCTTTGGGAAATGAGAAAACCTAATATTTCCGGTACATTTATTAAGGGCCAAAGAACTCTGTTGGAAATAGCACATGTGCTGTCTCATTAAAGAGGAAACATATTAGCTATGAATGTTGAATGAGGGGCAGAGATGTTAAAATTTGTAGTTTAAATGACATTACAAGGGGCGCCTGAGTGGCCCAGTCAATTGAGCACCCAACTCTTGGTTTTGGCTAGGGTCATGATCTCAGGGTTATGAGATCAAGCTCCAAGTTAGGCTCTGCGCTGAGCATGGAGCCTGCTTAAGATTCTCTCTCCTTCTCCCTCTGCCCCTCCCTGCTCGCCCTTATTGTGTCTCTTTTATACAAAATAGTGACTATACTAGGTTTTGGTTTATAGAAAACATAGAATATTGCTTATTAAAATAGAAGAGTATCCTTATACATTTGAGAGTCAAAAATGAACATAATTTGGGGCACCTGGGTGGCTCAGTCATTAAGCGTCTGCCTTCGGCTCAGGTCATGATCCCAGGGTCCTGGGATCGAGCCCCACATTGGGCTCCCTGCTCCGCGGGAAGCCTGCTTCTCCCTCTCCCACTCCCCCTGCTTGTGTTCCTTCTCTCGCTGTCTCTCTCTCTGTCAAATAATAAATAAAATCTTAAAAAAAAAAAGATGAACATAATTTTACACTTGACTGTGAGCTCCACATAGGCAGGATCTTGTCTGTGTATTGTACACAGTGTCCCCAGCGCAGAGTGGAGGCAGTCAGTAAATATTTCCTGAAATGATGGAAAACCATTTATGTTGGATGGCATTTTATTCCTACAAGGTCTCTGTGGTAGGCAGAGTAATAGCCCCCAACAGATACCCACATTCTAATCTCTACCACTAGAACATATTATACCTTCCACGGCAAAAGGGACTTTGCAGAGGTGATTAGGGTTAAGGGCCTTGAGATGGAAGGATTATCCTGGATTATCTAAGTGGGCCCAACATAATTACAAGGTTCCTTAAAATCAGAGAAGCTTCCCTGGCCGTGGCCAGCGGAAAGGGTGATGAGGCTATGAAAAAATGGTCAGATATGCAATGATGCTGACTTTGGAGATGGAGAGTATTGTGCCAAGGAATGTAGGCTCTCTCCAGGAACTGGAAAAGACAAGGAAAGGGGTTCTCTCCTAGTCTGTACAGAAGGGAACACAGTATGGCTGACACCTTCATTGCAGCCCAGAGAGGCTTATTGGTTGTAAAATACTACATGTATACTGTCTTAAGCCACTAAATTAGTGATCATTTGTATAGCAAGAGTAGAAAAGTGGTACAATCCTGCAGGGCAGTTTATCTCTTGAGAATGCTCAGGATGAGTTGCTCTTTGAAGTTCTTTAAGGCTTTAAAGGACTGGAACCTCTGATCTGATTCCGCATTCCCACACCCAACACCCAGCTCTACAACTTTCAGAGCTCACCCCATCATTATCTTTACACTCCTTGTTTCATCTGCCCATGGTAAACCCTGACTCAAACACAGCATTACAAAAAGAAAAAATGAAACTGTAGCCACAGATTTGAGATGACAAAGGGCTAAGCATGGCTCGAGGCTGCCTTTCAGGAGAGGTATGGAAACTGCAGAGTGTTGCTGCATATGGGCCACGGCTAACGGGAGCTCCCAGGATTCAAGAAAGCCAGTTCTCTATCAATATCCACCAAAACACACTAGTTCTGTCATAAGTTGTCTTTGGTCAGCTCAGTGGGTGATTATGCAATAAATAAAGTCTCAGCTCTGAGACTTCATCATTTCTGGGTTCCGTGTCTGCCTCTAAATAGACTGGGGTTGTGTCTTCACTTAAGTAACGTGACCTCCCTGAGCCTCAGTTGCCACATGTGAAACTGGAGAATAAAAAATTAAAAAAAAAAAAATTCTCTTCTGCAGGGCTTGTTAGGAAGCTCACAGATACTGGAGACAAAGCATTTGAAAAAGGTTAGGGCTGTTACCAATACTAGTAACCAGTTTCATTTAATTTTGAAATACTACATATAAAGGATATAGAATTGCTAGAACTGTAAGCTCAGAGAGATTTAGTCAGCCCACTGTGATCAAGCATCCCAACCTATAAACGGCTACAGCCCGTTTGCAGGGGAGCAAGGAGAGCTGTGGAAGGAACACCGAGCTTAGACTGCAAGGACGTGGCTTTGGCTCTACACCCACCATTATTCAACTGTGCTGTCTCGTGTAAGTTAATTTCAGCCCTGACCTCCTCATCCAGGAACAAACCTATTGGCTCTGCTTTGAGAATACATCCAGAACCTAACCATTACTACTACCAACCTAGTCCTCAGCTATAGGGTCTTTCAGGCTGCTTCTAGCTGGAGCACTCATATAGCTGCTTCTCCATTCAGAGGTCAGAACAAGCCTTTGTTAATAGATTAGAACACGTCGTTCTCCTGCTCAAGAACCTCCCAAGTCTCCAGTCGGGCTTTCACCTTTATACGCATGATGAGGCTCTTGTGCAGCTGCCTGATCTTGTGTCCCAGCCCTTCAACTCACTCAGCTTCAACCACCCCAGACTCCTTGCTTGACATCAACACTCCAAACATACCTCAGGGTCTTTGCACTCACTGACCTCTCTACCCTGAAAACTCCTCCCCACATATTTACATGGCTGCCTCCCTCACCTCCTTCAGGCTTTCTACTTAAAGGTAAAGTACCACAAGGGGCTTACTAGTATTATCTTAAAATAAAATAGCAACTGTAGGTCCTGAACTTCTCTTACACCCAGCCCTTACTCAGCTATTTTTTATTTACCACACTACAGCGCACGTTTACGTCCTTATTCGTCTATTGATTGACTCTCCCCACTAGGTTCATTTCATTCACGGCTACCTCCCAAGCAATAAGGCCAGTCGGCGCCTGGCACAAAGAACGCGTTCAATAAATATTATTGAATGAAGGAATCAATCGGTTAAATATGAATAATCGTACTTCCATTAAAAATGTTCACTTGGGGATTCAAAGCAATATGTGAATATCTATCCTTCATAAACAGTCAAGTGCCATTCAGATATAAATTTTATAATTTTGTGTTCCAGAGAATCTGCATTCCTTATTTCAGCATCCTTAACATTCTTTTTTTTTTTTTAAGATTTTATTCATTTATTTGAGACAGAGAGAATGAGAGAGAGAGAGCACATGAGAGGGGGGAGGGTCAGAAGGAGAAGCAGACTCCCCGCTGAGCAGGGAGCCCGATGCGGGACTTGATCCCGGGACTCCAGGATCATGACCTGAGCTAAAGGCAGTCGCCCAACCAACTGAGCCACCCAGGCGCCCCCTTAACATTCTTTATAAACAACAATTGTTTTCATTTCCCTTAGATCTACCTGAAGCCTCATCTTTCATTTCTTAGTCTGCTCTCTAGAGAGATGAAAAAATAATCTCAAATTTGAGGATATTAATAATGAGGGCTAAGGTTTCCTGAGTGCTTGCTATGTGACAACAATAATAGTAAACAATAGTTTAGGAGTGTCCCTGTCCCGAGCATTCTCTGCATGGTGTTTTCTTTAATCCGCACAACAACCCAAGAGTTGGTGCAATTTTCAAGCCCATTTTATTGATGAGGAAGCAGGTTTTAAGAGAGTCAGTAATAAGCCCAATTACACAACTAGTAAATGGTAGAGTCTAGATGCAAACAGAGGCATTCTGGCCCCAGAATTTATAAACTACCAAAATGTTCTACAGAAAAGCCACTATCCTAGGTGGTTGGCCACATTTACCTCATTCAATCACAACCAACTACCATTAGCTATGTTGTGCTGTTAAAATACTAAAGCTTTGGGGCACCTGGGTGGCTCAGTCATTAAACATCTGCCTTCAGCTCAGGTCACGATCCCAGGGTCCTGGGATCAAGCCCCACATCAGCCTCCCTGCTCAGCCAGGAGCCTGCTTCTCCCTCTCCCACTCCCCCTGCTTGTGATCCCTCTCTTGCTGTGTCTTTCTGTCAAATAAATACATAAAATCTTAAAAAAATAAAAAACCAAAAACTAAAACTAAAGCTTTAGGGGATTCAGTAAACAGCTCAAGATCATACACTTGGGAAGGTGCACAGCCTAGATGGGACTTCAGGTCTGTGGACCACCAGGATGTCTACCCTTGACATGAGTGGGTCCAGGACAAAAGGGACTTATGAAAGCAACAGATAATAACGTAAACACTCGAAATTAAGCTAATTAATTGACAAAATTTGTTCTATCCTACTTTCACAAAGACACTCAAACTGACAGACCTCTAGGTTCAAACTGAAGATTTTTGGAGTTCTCAGAGTTCTATGCTGGAAATGGTAGAGTAGGGAGAATCAGCCTTCAGCCTTTGGGCATCCCCATCCTTCCCTGTCCAGGCCTTGTTGAAGGGCTCAGAGTTGACTGGACAGGGATTTTTCTGGTCTTGGGTACTACTGGAGCTCCATCGAGAACATGTAGGGAGCCATGGGTAGGGTGCCTGTGTCTCAGTGGCCCTGTGAATTTCTCAAATAATAGAGGAGGCAGGCATGACCAAAGGATGGCCAGAGCAGGTGCTTGTAAAGAGCAGAACCCAGGGCAGGGTCGCTGTTGCCTGGGTCTATGGTAAGTCCTGACTTCCAACCCATGCTCTCAACCACTAGGTTGCTGCACCTATTTCTTCTCAGGGAGGAGAGCGATGGGCTTTCTTCCTTGGATTCCTTCTCATTCACTAGTTTTAATTTTTTTAAAATTTTTTTTAAAGATTTTACTTATTTATTTGCCAGAGTGAGAAAGAGAGAGAGCGAGCACAAGCAGGGGGGAGGGGCAGGCAGAGGGAGAGGGAGAAGCAGGCTCCCCTGCTGAGCAAGAAGCCGATGTGGGGCTCCATCCCAGGACCCTGGGATCATGACCTGAGCAGAAGGCAGATGCTTAACCAACTGAGCCACCCAGGCGCCCTTTATTTTTGTAACCATATTTTTATATACAATTAATGTAACGACCCAACAAATACAAATATTATTTATGGCTTTTCCATAAATCTAAGCATAAATCAAACTACTTAGAAAGATGCAATTTTTGGATTTCCTGGCTGAATCTGTCTTGATGGTCCAGCCACTTCCCAGGTGCATTTTACACATAAGCAGGGTGTCGGATGATCAACCTTCCCAGCACACCATTGCCTTCGGCACTGCATCACAAGTGGTGTTTTCACTCACTGTCAATTGGGGATCCATTCACTCTCCACTTGATTGTGGGTTCAGGTTCTCCTTCTGCCTCACATAACAAGATACCACTGCTCCCAGTGCTGTACACACCACTCTGAGGTTTCTTTGCCCAGCGAGGAGGCTCTGGAAGTAAAGTGAAGAGATCATGAGTGAGTTTATCCATGTCAGAAGGTCCAAAAATGTTAAGGCCTGCACTTCTCTAATACACCAGCAGATGGCAGCCACAATAAAGTGTTTCACACTAGCTCTATCTGGTCCTTGCTCTGGAAGGCAAGATGGGCACTGTTTTTGTTACAGGGTGTGTGTATGTGTGCGCGTGTGATCTAATTCGGACTCTTAGCATGTATAATAAAATCAACATATAGACAGTCACTTTATTCAGCAACACAAGTATCTATCTCATTAACAGAAAATGAAGGAGGGATAAGCAGATGGTTAAGTTTATTTAGTGCTGGCTACAGCCTATTTTCAAGCTGCAGCAAGGCATCTAAAAAGGCTGATACTCGAAAAATGTATTTTGAGAATTTTTTAATGAAATTAAAATGTCCAGCATTTATTTGAAATATTTCTTAACGACTTTGTAGCATCTATATACCATATCTATATCAACTTATCTATCTTAAAAATTGGGGAAACATTTTTTTTCTAGAGATTATTTTTTGTAAGGCAGGGAGAAGGAAGCCTAAAACCAACATTTAGCTTACTGTCCTCAAAACAATGGAGGAAAAGATGTATTTAAATTACTTGCATCTTCTCATGCCCTAATGCTCCAATAGTGTAATTCTAAGTGGTGTTTCAGGACAGAATGAGACATTTGTCTTTAGTGCAAATATTACTGCCATACCTTGTCACCTTAAGTATATTACTATGTCAGGAGTGAATAAAAGATTTAGATTAAAGTGTGGATGGTTTGGATAATTTGATTCCAGAGAAAATTGCACAATACCTGCAGGGAGTAATTCCCATCAAGCGTAGCTTGGTTATTTCCCCCAAGACATTTTTGGATTTCCATTTTTGTCAAAAAGAAACTCTTTTAAAGGTACAGATATGTGTAAAATGAAAAAAATGCTTAAATGCTTTTTTTTAAGTAAAGGGGAAACAAAGGGATTATGTGAAAAGAAAATGCCTATAAATTCACCAAGAAAAACAAAAATATACAAATAACCCTGGCAAATTCAAGTCCGAGCACGAGACATGCCTTAGTAATTATTCCATAGGGTGTAGGCTTAGTTACTAAATCTTTAATTCAAAATGTGTATTCATAATCTGTAAATATTCAGTCATTTAGGTTAAAATGCAATCGTCCAAATTATAAACTACTTATGACCCTCTGAGATGGGTGTGTATGTGCATGTCTATGCACATTTTTGATGTTGTTACTTCTGTCTTTTCACACAACCACAATAAAATAAAACATTCGAGTTAGAGAAGAAAGTTCCATGAACATGAAAATTTCCATGTTTACAACAGCAAACGAAGACTATTGCTTTCAGAGCAAAAATTAAATGTAGAAACATAAATCATAGGGATGTAATGTACAGCATGTTGACTGTAGTCAATCACACTGTATTGCATATTTGAAAGTTGCTAAGAGAGTAGATCTTAAAAGTTCTCATCACAAGAAAAAACAAAATTGTCATTATGTAGCCATGAATGTTAACTAGACTTAATCTGGTGATCATTTTATAATATATACAAATATCAAACCATTGTGCTGTACACCTGAAATTAATGTTATCTGGCAAAGATAAAATAATAATAATAATCTGCCAAATAATAAAATAAAGGAGATCATGTAATGATATTTCTTTAAATATACATGAATAATAAAATCAGGATTTTATTTCTATTCTCATCCTACAAATTTCATTAACCTCTAGGTGTCTGCATTAAGCTTAAGTTATCACCCTGTCCAGCTCTCCTTGCAGACCAAGGACTGAGCCTTGGAGATGCTGTCTAACTTGCTCAGTGTCACCGAGAAAAGAAGCCCTTTTCTGTGTTCTTGCCACTCCATGGATTTGCAGACCTATAAATTGAGCAGCATTGAGACTCCAATGTAAATGTGATGTTATTCCTAGTTAATTACTATTTTATTAATTTGGACCCCTGATAGAAACCAAGACCATATGGCTTTACCAACTTTCCCCTGTGCTTCCAAATCCAAGCTCCTCCAACATCTATCCACTGGAGGTTGATAGCAAGATTTCGTATATTCACTAGGAATCATCACCCTTTTGGATGAGTTTTGTTTTTTGTTTTTGTTTTTGTTTTTTTTATAAATGCTTGGACATTTGTTTTTATGCTTCTCAGATAAATAAAGAGCCAGGGTGGAATCTTAGTCTTTTCTTGTGTCTCCTTTGCTTGGCACAATGAGAACAGACACATGTAGAGTAATTATGAGTTAAACTGAAATGATTGATCCCTAAAGACCCCAGTGAGAAAGGCATTGGGAGGAAAGAAGGAGCCTTAGATAGGAGGGAATCACTGACTTCTCAATCTCATAATTTCATGTCTTGGTTGAACACATTTAGCTAGTTGCTACTTTGTTCACAAAAGAACACATAGTGAGCCTGAGGACAATGGCCATGGGTCAGGTTATTTTTGGTGAGTGAAGTTAGGCTAGGGACACGCTGGAACAGAGAACAAACAGATGTTTTCCAAAGCTTAGAACATGTAACTCTATTCCTGAAGGGTAAGATCTAGTGGAAAGGATGAAAAAAAGCTCAAGAAAAAGGGGGAGGGGAAAAAAAAGCCTAAAATGGAAAATTCTGAGAGACAACATCATCACTGAATCTCATGCTTTTACCTATTATCCTAAGATACATGGTAACTGATGAAAACTACTTAGGTTGAAACTTTCCTCATTTTGTCAAATTATAAATAAAAAAGATGATAATTTCTGTATGCTGTTAAAAACTGAGATGCAAATGACTGAACATTTAGAATATAATAAGCAAGTTAATTAGAGACATTTATCACTGGAAGGAAAATGAAATGAAATACAATAGGAAATTTGGTACCTAAAAATCAACACGGAAGCTTTTTTCTTAGTAACAGATTTTTTACTAAATATCTATATTCTATTAAATCAAACTTGTTAGGTTCATCAAACTTGGATTTAATTGTAACTCTTTAGAAATAACAGATTATTTGAAAATGAGGCTTTCTTAAGTATATCAATGAATTGCATTTGAGTTCATGATATCTTTTTAAGACAATTATGAGCATACAATTACATATAAATATTTTCCTTTTACACTAAAATTCAAAAGTCTTAAATGATTCCAAAGTTGACTACATGAATGCTGTTGGTGGGAGTTTATTTTTAAATAATTAGTTAAAATGTGATTGTGGTCATATTCTGATTCCTGGATTTAGAGTATTTTAGATGCCATTTTAACATCTCTCCTTACTGAATGTAAAATATTTATATCATAGATACCTAGAAAGGATAGCTGTCCCTCGTCAAGACAAGGATGTTTTTGCTTACACGTATTACAGAATTTGAAAATGCATACGGTTTTCATATTTAGGATGTTGTAACTTCAATTACAGAATTTGATTGTGTTTAGTAATAAAGAAGAAACATCACATAGACAGAGAATACAATATAATACATGCTTTTATTTAAGCACAAATGGGTGTTTTCAGAATGGACTCGATTTTCAAAGTTCACAGTAGCATTGTTCTGTGATCCTATGGTAATCCTTGCTATTTCATTTGAGTTTCTAAACAAGAGACAAAAAAGGGAAAGAAAGTGCAGGAAAGCAGAAGACAATTGAATAGAATAAGCTCATCCGTGCTTATGATTAATGAGGCTTATATTTACTGCTTTCACATTTAAAAAAAAGAAAAACTGACTTCTTGAGCCCAGTTTGCTTTTCACTTGCATGTGTGAAGAGAAACTACTAAAACATACAACTGAGGGCACATTTAGTAGCTTCTCATTAAGGAGAAAAGATTAAATGTTCCTAATAAAAACATAATTTACATCTCAATAGTGCTAATAGCTGTTTTATGAATAGTGAGGACAATTTGTTCAGGAAACCTAGATTCCTTTGGAGTACTATAGTCAACATTTTAAATTGCGTAATTAAGTTTACATCCTTTTTTTTTTTTTTTTGCAACCCTTGCAATTCTTTTGAAAGCTTCAGTCTTACAGTCAAGAAAACCGTGGCCAGATTGTTAAAATATTCAGCTACCGTAGCAATGTTCCAGCCATCTGGAAGGATTTCTAATAGTCAGCAACTTGGAGTAGGAGCAGTTAACAATTAGACATGTCTGGTTTGTGGGTATGTGTTTGCGCTGGGCAGGGGTAAAGGGTTACAGGAAAATATCCCTGTTGCATGGTATAGCTTAATTATATGGGAGCATCAAATGATGACTAAAAATATATATACAAACCTCTCAAACTCTTCCTCTCTGAATTTCTTTGTGAATAATTTAAAATCAGAGGAATATATCACTGTTGGCAGCTATTGATATTTATGTGTAATATTGGTAATATGAGTAATATTTCTCCTATATAGGTTTTGCTTTTTTTGAATCAAGGAAAATGATATTCTCATCTTTGGCTTTCCGCTCTTCCTAACTTAATCATATACACTGTGGGCTAGGTCTTGGAAACGCAGTGTCATTCCAAACAGCAGATGACTAAAACAATTATCCTAACATTTACTTGCAAGTGGAATGTGTGACTGAGTCTTCATTTTTTTTCCCCATTAATTAAAACAGTCAGCCTTTTACTTAGGTGTTCCCTGCACAAACTGAAGGCTTAAGAGGTAAACTTTATTGGAATACAAATGGAAACCCCAGAGCATCAGTTCACTAAATAGGATCCTGAAAGAGACAGTTCCTTTCAGTAGTTAAGCCTACACAGCACTAAATAAGTACAAATGCAGTAATCAATCCATTAATTTGATCAATACAGTCAACCAAACTATAGATAGGAGACCTCAATGTAATCAGACCCACAGAAAACAGTCTGCATCAGTCAGATTCCCAAGATGCCTAGATAACCTTTACTTGCAGGGCAGATACAGCTCCAATATCTACATGGTGTGATATATAGATTTTTTTTAAAAATGATGACATCATGGCCCACTTATTTCTGTGAATATAAGAAACAACAGCTAAGCTTCTATTGATTAAAAGGCTTGGGTTTACAGAGATGACTTGAATATAATGTGTATTTTGCATCATTTGATAGAAAATAAATATTTCTAGCACCGAGTCTACCCTTTCCTCATAAGTAACATATTGAATGTCATGTGAACCCAAGGTATGGACAAAAAAATAATGTATCTAGGAAAGAACTAAGATAATTTGTCTGACACCCTCATTTCTTTGAGGAAGAAACTGATGTACAGAAAGGTGAAGCAAATTGATCAAGGACATAGTAAGTTAACCATAGGCCTGGGAAACAAGCTCATCATGATACTCATCATAATAATTCCTTCCTTTGTAATGCTTACTTCTTCTACGATTTAATATTATGCAGCATCATATGTTCATTATAATAAAAATTATGTGGAAGTCATCTGTGTTTAATCCCTAATGTGAGATCTTTTCTTGCCATTTGTCCCTTTTATGAGCTATCGTGGGCTATATGACAAATCTGGTTAATTGGAATATAATAGAATCCAGTACCCACTCTCAAATTAAAAGTTTAAACGGTTTACCTGTTTTAACATATATGCTTTAGAAGGGTAGGTCCACTACATATAGCAATTCACCTTTTTTTTTTAATAGAAGAAAAATAAATCAACATGGGGAATGTACCTTCTACTATAACATGAAAATCATGAGTGGTTGATCCTAAGAAATTGTTGGCTGTGCAACGATAATTCCCTCTGTCCTGGTAGGAGACATTCTCTATCTTCAAAGTCTTGCCATAATTTTCTTTTGTTTCTCTTCCTTTTGGTAAGTCGCCACCTATTTTGTTCCAATCAACCTGTGGAGTTGGTCTGCAACACAAACGAGTGGTAAACATTTTTTAAAGTGCAAAATTAAATTCAAAGAGCCTCCCAGGTCACATCCCTTAACATGATGCTTTTACGTATGCACTTGGAGCTCCAGTAAATAAAAATTAGCCTTCCCAGTGCACAGACCTGCACACCACCTTTGATGGTGAACGTCAGATTGGATCAGGTCTCCTTTACTGAAAGCTCCTTGAATAGTCTGCTTCTACAGAAATCAGGTTTCTTCTATTAAGAGGGTTGACTACTTATAATAGCTGAATAGGTGTGGCTAGATAAAAGGGTGGATAATTTGGACCCACAGAAATACCATACGATATTTTTCAAACTTTCAATATTTATAAGATATATTTCAAGTGTGAAATCTCCTTGCAAGTGATTTGAAGTGGCTAATAATAACTGCCCCTTTCCCTGTAGGAGTTTGAAAAACAAGATAAAGTAGGACCCAAGAGTAAGCAGAGGGAAGCCATGATACCCTCTTAATCCTAATGAAGCTGACAGTGGAGAACACAGCTCAGATGTGACAGCTAAATGTGTTGGCTGGACCTCAGAACAGCCTGCTTTAGGGCAAGGTGGGCTCTCCACAGACATGGCTACGCAGGTGGCTTTCTCTATTAGGGAACAGAGGGAAGGGGGAATGAACCACATCTCCCTTCCTTGGAAAGATGAGATCACCCAATCAAAACAAACAAAAAAAAGTAAAAACAAAACAAAACTAAAACCAAACTGATAACTTGTCACACATCAAGAGGATAACTTCCTCCACCTTAGGGAGGGGAACAGGAGTGGAGAATCAAGCCAGCTGGGTTCAAGAAAAATCCCAGCTCACAAAAACTAGATGAGTGGAGGATGGGTACCATCTATGACTCTTGTGATTTAAAAACTATGTGGAGGGGTGTCTGGGTGGCTGAGTCGGTTAAGCGGCTGACTCTTGCTTTCAGCTCAGGTCATGATCTCAGGGTCGTGGGATGGAGCCCCCTGTCCGCAGGGAGTCTGCTTGAGATTCTCTCTCTCCCTCTACCCCTCCTGCCACTTGCACTGTCGCTCTTTCTCTCTCTCTAAAATAAATAAAATCTTTTTTAAAAATTATGTGGAAAAAATATATAAATAAATAAAAATAAAAGAATTATGTGGAAAGCATTGATGGCTGATTTTAACTGATAATATTTTATTTTTCCTCTCCATTTGGGCTACATGAATGGAATAAACTTTATTTTGCTATTTTTTTAAAAAGATTTTATTTATTTATTTGACAGAGAGAGAGAGAGAGAGAGCACAGGGGGTGGGGGGGAATGGCAGGCTGAGGGAGGGGCAGAAGCAGGCTCCCCACTGAGCAAGGAGCCAGATGCTGGACTCGATCCCAGGACCATGGGATCATGACCTGAGCCAAAGGCAGATGTTTAACTGACTGAGCACCCAGGCGCCCCTATTTTGCTATTTTTAATGATGCTGCTTTTCCTTCCTCGCTCTATTTTTATTATTAATAGCTACAAGATAGTGATATGTTCTAAAGATGGGCATTATTATCATCACTTTACCAGTGAGGATTCTGAAGCTCCAAGAAGTTAATTAATTTGCTTAAAGTTACTGGGGTAATAAATGACATGTTAGAACTTAAGTCTGTCCAACACTAAACTTGTCCTTTCTACCACTGTGTTCTATTATATTTGTGCTTTTTCCATCCCTTTTCCTTCCTAACTGTATATTCTTGGAATGTGTGCTTGTAGCCAAATTAATTAGCTACTAGTTGATAACTGAACAATTATCTCATATAGTCTCTGTCAATTATCTAAGATTGTATTGATCAGTTAAAATAATTCCATTATTATGCAAAAATATATATTGGAGGTAAAGATGTAGGTCCTTTAACTTATGCACATTTACTCTCTTCCCCTCATCCATTCAAGGCTCAAGTGCTTACAAACCATACAGAGCTGGAACCACTACTTTATATCTGCCCAGGCTGAGAGCACAGGGCATACTTCTCTGGGGAACAGCAATGATGCTCAGACAGGCAGCTGTGAGAAGATATTAGCTGCTGGCTTCCTGAGCACACCACCTAACAGGATGCCGAACTCAAGTCTCTTAACTGCTTGCTTTCCAAGCCATCTGTCAAAATGGCAGTTTGCCAAATTATAGGCTGCTCTGGACCTCGGTTCCTCCAAACCCGTTTTTCCATGAGTCCAGGTTTTAATAGTGCAAGCATCTCACTTTCTGCAGGATTTTTTTTTTTTTTTTTTTTTGCTAGTCCTCAAAAACTAGTCTAATCCTCTATACCTATCCCTTAAAAGAACAGAATAAAAAGATTACCTGTAAGTATCAGGTGAACATGAGACCTCATTTATCTAGGGACATATCTATTCCATTCCAAGGATGTCCAGTTATATTCTTGTCAATTTTTTTCTTCTCTCTTTTTTAAAAATTTAAGGTACTGTTAGTAAATACTAACAGTATTTGAGCAATGAAATTTTGAATGAAAATACACTGCTTAATCCTTAATCCCTTTTACTATACAAACATGCACTATCTCATAATCATATTTTTGTTCAGGTCCTTGTCCAGCCAATTTTTGTTTGTATACTTCCCTATAGTTCCTACATTTTTACAATGTAGCATCTTGCCATACAATCACACCTAGCTTATGAATTTACAAAACAGAGAGGCGAGAGAGAAGAAACAGTGTGAGCCCAATGATCAACAGAGGGAAGCAACAATATCCCCCTCTAATCCTAAAGCAGCTTTTCCAGGGTGGGGGTGAGTGTAAACTGGCACATGAATGTGTACTTTCCACTCACTGCCTCTTCTTCCGAAGGAGATTTACAGTGTTATTTCAACTATTCAAAATTTCTGCCTTCTTCACAGAATCTGTAAACTTGAAACCCTGTTTAGTTTTTCCTGTTTTAATTAATGGTATCAGCATTTTCATTATGACTAACCATTTACAGAAATATCTATTACAGGCCACTTCTTCTGATTCAGAAACAATGCCATGCTTGGTTTCCCCACCCCACCCCGTCCCCTTAGCTGAAGAGAACAGTTCATTTGGTTTAAATATACGGAAATACGTTAAATTTAGAGGTAGTTCAGGGTCTGGAGGCAGAAAGGATGGAGTTCCAGCTCCACTTTTCACTGAGCTTGAAGAAGTGAATTCCAGCCTCTGGGCTTCATTTACCTAACCTGCAAATGGGAAGAGTGATAGCCCTGAAATGTGGCAAGGATAAAATGAGCTAAGGCATGTAAAGTGTAAAATAAGAGTGCCTGACACATAATAAAGGGTACAACGTCCAAGTTATAATGATTTGTTTCTACAGAACATTCATGGTTTAAAAACTTCTCAGAAAATGATTTTTAAAGGACTCTAAAAATTTTACAATACAAAATCTGAACAAGGACCAGGCAAGATTATCCAACACAAACCCAAAATGAGTAAGAGGAGGCCAGTTTAGGTGAAAACTCTTTGACAATCCATCAGGAATCATCCCATCCCAAGGACACAGATATTTGTGTCCATTTTCTTTCTATATATTGCTCCATGACATTGCATTTTCCAGAAAGCACATGAGAGCATTTGTGTTATTTTGAAAATCCGTGCAGTTCCCAGCCAACTCAAGAGGTAAATTATGGCGTTTGTGGGAAATAAGAAAAAAGAATTCCTGAAATGTTCACCCTGCCCAAAGAGGCAACCAAGAATAGTGATGAATCCTGAAAGAACTGAGTTGCTACCACTGTAAACATCTATGAACAAGAACAAAAGAGCAGGTAGTTACCATCAGGATTCAAACTGAACCTGAGGCTTTCACCGTCTCACATAATACAGAGACCAAACTTTTGGAACAGAGGTCATGTCACAAGGCACATCTAACTAGTTACATCAAATACACTTTGGCAATCTCAAACATATAAGCTGTAGACCTCTCTTTTTTTAAAAGATTTATTTATTTATTATTTGAGAGAGAGAGAGAGTGCACATGTGGGGGGGAGGGGCAGAGGGAGAGGGAGAGAGAGAGAATCCCAAGCCAACTCCCCGCTGAGCATGGAGCCCCACTGGGGGCTCAATCTCATGACCCTGAGATCACGACCCGAGCCGAAACCTTGAGTCAGACACTTAACCGACTGAACTACCCAGGTGCCCTGCAACCTGCATGTCTTTGCTGGATGGAAGAGACATTTGCAAAACTTAGGGGTTGCAAAACCTTTAAAATTGACTCTTTTTCTTCAAAAACCAATTTAAAATCACCCATTCAGAATATATACGGAATTATGAATGACTACAATTTTTAAAATTTCAAATTCTACCTCACTAACCAGGTGCCCAGCCAAAAGAAGGCCTGAGCTTACAAACTAATTATGTAAACTCAGGGTATTGGGATGGTGGGATGTATTTTCCCAGGGTATTCCCAAAGGTAGCAATGGACGTGTGGTGGCAAGCATAGAGGGATGGTGGCAGGAAAAAGGCAAACTTTCATGACTCAGAATTAAATAAGATGGTCCCTATTTGCATAGACTCAGGATACTCACTCAACAAATGTAACGATTTTAAGAGATGACCAAGTGACCTTTCCTTAAGGCATTTTTTGGAGGATTTGGAAATGTGCACTGATTTTTCAGATATGAAAATTTGAGTGAATTATATTATTAGGTGAAGCTCTCTAAAATTACGTGGTCTGGACCTCCTTGTACGCAAAAGTCAACAGGGTGAAATAATAGATACATAAGGCTCCTTGGAGCCTGCAAAGGACTCAGAGCTCATTGCATAACGAGAAGGAGTGGGACAACATGGAATGGCCGAGACAAAAACCCAGCAGCAACAGTAAGAGGCTGACAACGAAGAACCTCGAGCTCTAAGGATGGCATCTCCCCGCTGCCTTAGGTAAGGAGAATGTTGTCATTGTCACCTCCATTCACACCATCACAAACTGACAGAACAATCCAATTATAAGTCAATCTCAGTCACAGCCTGAAATCTGTAGAGTGAAGTGCAAATTACTTCCTCCAGAAATGTAGTAAAAGAATTTTTTTTAAAGAAATAATTTAAAAATGTGTGTCTAGGATTAACTGCTTAACTGAGGCATTATTCTTTACAGAACTGGATGGACAAAGTGATGAACAGAGGTCAAGTTACTCACAGGCCTTCCGCAAAACACTCCAGGAGCAGGGTGTCCCCTTTGAGGATAGTAACTGAAGACTCACTGCCACGTTCAGTAGGAGGCAACAGCAGTCTAGGTTTCCTCTGCTTGATCGAATTTGCTATAATACAAAAACGTCACACATTTTTTCCAGACTAAGAGTGTTAAAAATCCCATGGCACTAAATCTTTCTTAAAACATACTTAAACATATATACCTATATGTACCTATGTATATATATACATAGACTATATTTAATATAGCACCATTTAAATAGACTCCATTCTTACCATAAAGCATGGATTGTCCTTCAGATGCATTAACTTAGCGGAGTACCAGGTTTTAAGAAGGTTGTGATTGAAACCACATCTTCAAATTCCAGAAGTTCAAGATAATTAGTTTCTTAATGAAAGCCTTTAAAAGTTAACTGATAGTCTATGATTTTATATTCTACACTTTAATCATACCTGGCCATGTTTGATGGCTGTGTAAAAATAAAAATATTTTTATTTAATTTAATGTACCTAAGTATTTGATAAGATTCCTGTTATAATACAGCTCCCTAGGCCTTGTTCCCAGAAATTCTGATTCAGGAAGTCTGTGGTGGACCCCATGCATCTATGAAGTTATCAAGCTCTTTAAGATGACTCTGTTTACAGTCTCAGCCCCTCAAAGAGAAACACGGTTGTAGGGAAGGATTAGCAAGCACTCTCACTAAATACATACAGAACCGTTCCATTCGTTACTTCTCAAGAGTACTTTTCAAATACAATGGCAAAGGAGGACTTCCATTTTCAATGTAAATTTTAACAGCATTTCCAAATGTTTACAGAATTTTTTTTTTCCCATCCAATGTTAATGTGATTTGACATGACGTGGGAAGTATAAACAGCTGACATTCAGAGTAGAGATATGAAGGGCACTGGTACCAGTGTTTACGTGCGACACTTCCTTGTAAGTATTTATGGAAAAACAATTGTTGAACACACATTATATGCAATTGTTTTTCACTGAGTGCTGTAAAGACACAATATACATGACTGGATTATTGACCCCAATGATCATGAAGGTGGGGATGTATGCTAATCAGTCCACCGTCAAACTGAGGGTGCACCAAAAAGAGCCCTCATCCAGCCCTTGTGATGTTGTCAGTGTATCAGATATCTAGATTAAGACACTGGTTCCAATGGTATAAAGAACCTGTGTTGCATTCAAGTAAAGGATTCTTCTTGTTGTGGAAAACTAGCTTCCTACAGAATTCAGATTTACTCAGGCATCTTCCAAAAAACACTAGCTCTATTAGATGTTCTGTGGGGGGGTAAAAATGAAATATTTCACAGACAAATGAGTTTGGAAAATGTTACAGACTGTATTCTTTCTCACAGTTACAATGGACAGTCCCATGTTAAGTATTCTGAGAAGTCTTACTAGAAAAATAACCATTTAACTTTCTTAAATCTAGTGTTTCTCTACTTCTGTTGATATTCAACCATTTCTTTTTCCTTTCTGCATGTAACAGCTATCAACCAAAATGTCATTCAACCATGGCAGACATTTTAGGAGATGCAAAATAATTGCTCTGTTAAAAATATGCATATATATATGTGTGTGAGTGTATGTGTATTTGTCTATGTGAATTATATTACATATATACATTCACAAAGTGATGAATTTATAAATATCACTCCTTCACACATATTTAAGGAAGGAGGGGGGTAGGAGAAACCTCTATGCTCAGGCGTTTTCCTTTATAAAAATATTAGTATTTTAATATACTCATGAAGATATTAAAGGAAAAATTTAAATTCTGAGATGATAATGAGCTACAAAAGGTAAAAATAAATGCCAACATTCTTCATGTGATCGACTTACCCTTGGAACCAATTTCTGTGGATGAACTTGAGTCATTAGCATGCCTTACTGAAATAAAAAAAAAAATGAAAGAAAAACTCACAAACATAATGGTAGATGCTGATATCAATAATGAATGAAAAGTCATAGTTTTCTCTTAGAAAGATTACAAAATGAGATACAACCATGCTTCACTAGAACATCATCTTTGGGGATATATTGGGAAAAAAAATATAATGAGTTTAATCTTAAACTACCACAGCTGAATCCAGGTCGAGTGGACACAAATTACAGCTCTGTTAAAGAGAATTGGGGCTGCCAAAAGGTATGCTATAGTGAAGCCCTGGCATAATGTATCTACACATAAGATGGAGAAAACCATGAACCAAATTAGACAATGGAATGGTAATGCCAACTTGCGACTCTACCAGAGCCAATTATTCAGTCAGTGAACTGTCGGGGATTATTTTTTGGTTCTTTCTCCCACTAATGACTTTTTCCCATTTGGGAACCCAGACTGGCATCTGCAGAATCAAGTAGGGAAGAGAAGCAACCCACATAACTTTGCCAATTTGGGAAGGACAACAAAGCTTGATGTGACAAAAATTATAATATTCATTCTTTTTCTTTTTGACTCTTGTTTTCTTTCACATTTGCAGCCTGCTGTTTACTCAAGATCACAATGCATCAAAGCCTGAGACTTGCTTCAGAAACCCTGGAATATTGCTGTGTATTTCACCCACAGCAAAGGACCAGATCCTGCAGATGTCAAATGAAATATACTTGTACTGTGAACTGAGATTTGATTTTCTGGCTCTGAGAGACAGAGCTACTGTAGATCTGCAGCTGCAGATGTCTCTTTCATCTGGATGAAGTCTCTAGAGTTGAACTAAACAATGGCGGCAAATATCAACCCAGCTTTAACCAGCTTCAGCCAGAATGAAATTACAGGCACATTTGTATTCAGCATTCACGATGGAACGACAAATTGTTTGGACTTACAACTGTTAACTGTTAGTTTCATTGGCATTTTCTGCACAATAGTCCTCAATCTCGGGAATGCGGCAAAGCAACAGTAATCATTCCGGCTGTCTTTTTCTTCCACGTTTGCAAAGTACAGATCTCCCTTTTGACTCATGTATACTCTTTCATCTTGTTCGATGTGTTCTAATTCTGGAAAGAAACATCTTGTCATTAATAGGGGCAACTGTCCTTTATTGTGCCTCATTCCCCTTCTTCATTTTCCCTTCTTTCCTATTATTTCATTTTGTTTTCTTTTCATGCTTGTTCTTCCTATTCCTTGTAAGTCTGGTCTTACAAAAAGAACAATGAGTGAGAAGTAAAAAACAAACAAACAAACAAACAAAAAACAACCCTCTGGGAGCATGCTTTCGACCATTAACCAAAGAAGCCCCTTGGTGGACAACCAGTCTGTAGATTCCACCTCTCTTTTCCATCTAAGCCTCTACTTCTGTACTGGCTTATATGAAAACTGGTTCAATTGGTCCAAACAGATCTCCCCAAAAGTTGTGTCTGAGAGAGATATTAATCTGTCTTTCCTGGATGCAGCCTCGAATGTTCCAGGGTGATTGGAGTCTGGAATGTTTGGCTGCAGCCAAGCATAGTTTCTCTCACTTCCTTCCGAGGACTATATAAATATTATCATTTTTCTCTCAGGACCACAATGAGAAAACATTTAGGGCACATTGTGAAGGCACATGCCAGAAGGACTTTACAAGAAGCTGTAATTTCAACTCGAGTGTTAATACAATTTTTTTTGGCAAATTAAACACAAAGGTTAAGACTAATTTCTCTGTAGGTCACTGTCTGTAGTGGTAGAACATTATTAAAATAGAAATCTAACACTAGCAACACAGACCCAAGCATCCTCAACTTTGACATGGATAATATTCCAAAGGTGAGTAAGTTGTTTGGAATATAGAGAGTATTTTCTTCATAGACATACTTTACCATATCAATAGCTTTACTCTCTTAGATATGATAAAACCAAGAGAAATATTTAGGGGCTTTCTAGTGTTTTCACATATATCCTTAATAGAACAGTTAAAACTTGGAACACACTATATAAATGGATATAATTTTTTGTAAATCTATTTCATTCCATAATGATAATGTTTTTTCCTTTTTGTCCCCCACGTTGATAATCTTAGATTATTTTTTAATCTTTGTTTCCCTATGTTATTTGACATGATGCATGAAATTAAAATCCTATGGATGGTACAGAATGTTACTTACCAATATTCATCCAATAAATGTGTAGAGGTGGAAGGCCTCTGGGAGGGTTGCATGGGAGGACAATTGGATCTCCCTCCTCCACTTCAAGAGGGTCAATTTTTTCTTTTGGGAATTTTGGAACATCTTGTAAAAAAAAATTTAAGACATTATGTTAAAATTAACTTTTAATGTTATAGGAAATATATTAAAACCTTCTTTTTAAAAAATAGAGTATTTTTAACAAACTCAATGCCCCAAATCTTGGTTCTCCTATCTCCCCTGCAGAAGAAAATACTGTTAAGAATCTGGGGTGCAACCTTATATAACTTTAAAAATGCTCCTACATTTTACAAGTGTAGACAACAAATATTTTTGCTATGTGACATCAATTGGCAACAATATGCTTGTGCATATTTCTCTGCACAGAGATACAAGTTGTGAGTTACAGGATTCACTGAGTTTAAATTCTGACAGATGTCGTACTTTATTTCTTCAAACACTGTGATTTATTTTCTAGGCAGATACATATTCTCTGTCTCTGGCTTTATGGTGAAGCCCTTGAATGTGATGGGCAAATATTCTATTCAGAGTATAACCAACTAAATTAAAAATTCAAAGACCACATGGGAAAAATGGTACAAACAACAATGAAAAGACAAATATGACCACTTTAAGTTGCTAAGAGAACATTCCACGTTGGAATCACTCCCAGAAAATGAAATTTCAAATGAAATGGAACTGATGTAGGAAAGGAGACTTCGCAGTAATTTAACATATGGTTTCTTTCCCATGCTGGAGGCACTTTCCTAAAAGAGCAACACAATTACAATGGGAATAAAAGTCACAACTATGCAGAATTAGAAATCCAGCATGAAGGTGTGATTATTTTTATGAAATTATTTATAAGGTAGTTTTAAGAATACTCAAAATGTATTCTGCTTGAACACTATATTGATACCTTTAGATTTTATGAGGGGGCTTTGAATGATAGAATTACTCAGGCTCTTATGGAAGATAAGGACCTTAAGAAGGTATTTATAACACTGCTGGCTTGATGGAATTTATCAGGGGGTATTCCATCTCTGTATTTCATTCTTAAATGGTGGTTCACAAAAGATTATCATTATTCTTGGAAGTCTAAAGATATACTCATTTATTATAAAAGTCTTCTTGAGAAGCTTTGTGCATTTCCTAGGTATTTGTTCTCTTGCCCTCAACCCTGACCCCAACTCCTGAGTGGTTGAAGGAATTTGCTGACATATCTCTTATCAATGCACCAGCTAGTTACAATGAATTGCTTTTTGTCTAAATTCAAGGACCGTTCAAGGCATAGCACTTCAGGGGCAGTGGTCTATATACAGTGCCTTTGCCAATTTGGAAGGCAACCTTCAATCATGTGACAATCCTCGATTCCCTCTTGGTCAACCCATCGTAGCAGATTTCTCTTGGCAAGGCTGGAAACATGTTTGAAATGGCAACTATCTTGGAATCCTGCTTTTGCTTTGGTAGCATGAAATTTCCACCAAAAGACAGGAAAGCATGTTTGGGACATTCACTATGGTAAGATCTTGTAAATAAAATATCAGTGCCACCTATTTGGTAATGCCTTAGCTTTGACTGAAAGCAAATGCTATACAAATCATTTTGTAGAAAGTATACCTTATGCAAGTAATGTGTAGAAACTTACAAAACTATTATATGCCCAAATCTCCAAATTCACATCACTCGTTTAGCGCAACTTGCTATAACTAAAACCCTGTGTTCTTTGGTATTGAAGTTAACGGTGCTATTGGATAGCTATTGAATCTGTTTATACTCAGATACAAGGGGCAATAGAGGAAGAGAAACATAGACAAAGGAAAGAGCCTGTAATCCTGTTTCATAACAAGCGAACTTTACAATGCCTTACAGGAATACACAGTTCCCTGGGTGATATCTATTGTAAAGTAGCTAATTAATAAGATATATAAAGCCTTAATTGGAGAGCTGCCCCCTCAGAGTATTCAGAAAATTCTAATGATTCAAACTGCCAGTGAAGCACTAACATCCATGCATTAATTAAATCTAGATTATAAAATTCTAATTCCAAAGATGTAAATATGTAATTCAACTGGCTTCCAAGGCATCAATAATAAACATAAATAAAATAAAATTTATAAGTCTATCAAACACTTTATCACATACCATAAATCTTCAGAACAGTTTTTGACCAAAGATGAAATTAATATCAGGAAACAAGGGGAGAATATTTATATATTTAATCTTTTAAGGTCTGAGAATAGATAATATAAAAGACATTAATTTGTATTTTTTTTTATGATCTTCTTCTTCGACTTTGAAACTATTTAGTAAGTATGAGTCCATGCTAGAAAGTGAACATTTTAATGGCCACAGATAAATGTGGAATTTAATTACTGTAACTCAACAGCAGGCATGAATTTTATCTTAATTCAAATAAAGAAATGACTCCACTTAAGAATAACTCCAACCAATGACTTTGGTTAATTGTATTTCTCTGGTGATAAACATTAGCATTGTTGAGTTTGGACAGATGCGATACTTTTAAAAGTGAATTGTAAACGATCATTTTTCTTTTGTGTAAGGCAACTACACTGCTTTAGCTTACCAACATATTTTAAAATGAGTTCTCTATCAACAGCAAAAACACAATCATTTAATTATGTTTCACTAACACTGGACTTGACCCGGGAATGGCCTTTCCATAAAGGAATCAGAATCTACTTGTATATCAGCATCTATCTAAGCAGAAGTTTAAGAATGTTTGAAAATCCCATAATAACCAAGTCTACATGAAGTCAATTTCCTTTATATATAATGTCCCTACCAGTCTATCTGCATCAGGTAATCAAGCAGTTGATAGCACCCATCTTTGTTTACTGTTCTCCAATAGGCTTGCACAGTTATTATTCAGTGTTGCAGACAAATTTCTAGTAACAACTCCAATGGTATAGGTTCCTAAAAACCCAGCCAGAATCTAGCATGAAAAAACTCTTCTAGAAACTAGATAGGTGGACAGCAGTCTTCTTACTGGAACTATCAATATAAAGCAAACAAGCAAATACAAAATTTCTAGGACTTCTTCAAGTTCAGATGGTGACAATGAGTTTTGAAAGTCATCATTTCAATTCTTTCAACCTAAGATACTGAAAAAGTAACATCTTTGTACTTGAAATGCAGATGACTTCTAAAAAAATATTTTGTATTTATAGTATAGTATAAACTGGGTTCTGGCCCAGGCACTAAAACTAACTAGCCATGTAGCTTCAGACCAGTATTTTTACCCTTCTGTGCCCCCATTTATTTTTCTCTGGGATCCTAGAGTCCTTTGAAATCATCTCTCTACTAGACTAGAAGTTTCTTATGGGCAAGGACATTATAAAATTTAAGCATCAGGATAATTTAACTTAATACAAATTGTGCTAACTAAACCACTTAAATGAAAAAGGTACAGGCGACTTAACCACTATGAAGTTATGTAACTAGAGATAATCTTTCTCTTATACTCAAGAAATCACATCAAGTCTTCTTACACTCCTATCTCTCCATGAGTCTGACACTTGACTGCAAAGGTATTTCCAACAAAAAAGTATAACTCATTTCAGCTTATCTAGAGGATGTGTTACCTGAATGATCAAAGTATAGGCAGCACTGTACAGCATCGGGGTTATATACATAAACCCTAGAGCCAGCTGCTTGGGGCTGAATCCTGGCTTCCTCACTTACTATGTGATCTGAGCTGTTACTTAATGTGTTTCCGTTTCCTCACTCAAACTGCAATGACACCTCATTTACTGATTTGTGTCAAAGTTTAAATAAACCATTTTATATAAATCAATTAAATAGCATGGGGCACTTGAAAATCACTCAATATATGTTGGCTATTATTCAAGTATTTTCACTTCGTACAGTACACCCTGCCATACTGTATGAAATGAGATGGGCAAAGGGTCATAGAGCTTTCTTCTGTTGTGCCTTCTGATTTTCCCTATAGCCTACATTGTAACAACTTCTGTAATTTTATGCAAATATTTGCAATTAGCTTTTACAGAGGAGGTAGAGAGGGGGCCAGAGGGAAGAAACAGTATGTATTTCATGTAGAACCTATGGTTTAAAGATACTCCTCCCCATTACTGGGCAAACCTTCCTATCCCACAGAACTTTATCTATCTTGACTTATCTCTCTATTTACAGGACTGGACTGGTGAGATTTTTGAGTTTCCCACATTTCCATTGAATGTGTTTGGCGAATTGCTTACAGTCTGACATCATTATCATGAATGCATGCCACTGAGCTCACATGCTGTATCATCCCTAAGTTCAGTTTCCATCTGTAAAGAAATGTAATTGATTCCCACTTCCTATAGAGTACCCCATTAATCCATTTATGAGTACAGAGAAATAACATTGCCTTTCAGTCTATGATTTCGTAATGAATTCACGCTAAGGACACCCAATCCAGCCCATTTCATTCTAGTCATTAATACAATCTGATAGATGAGAGGAAAATCCTTGATCTTAATTAAAACCTGTAAAACTCAAAGTTGCACTCTCAACAAATCCATCTTCTTTAGTTGGTTTGCATACATCCGTAAAAGAAATTAGCATATGCTACCAGACCCTGCTTTTACTACCCTACCCCTCCCAAATCTGAGCAGTAAATAGCCAAAGTATGTCTTAAGGGAACTGTCCTGAGGCATCTGAGGAAGCTATACAAATGTAGAACACAGCAGACCAGAAATTCTAATTGGTTTCCATTAAAACAGTATATAGAGGATTGCATCTTTAAGCCTGCCATTTCCTAGATTATTTTAATAGTGTGTGGAAATTGCTTTAGTACTCTTATTCATTCTTTTATTCTTCAGCCTGTGAAACAATAAATCAGGCACTGATAATATGCATTCAAGCAGCATCTGGAAGCATGCAAAGAAGAACAGCATAGCATGACATCTTTACCATTTTTAAGTATCCCAGTTAGTACACATGACAACCAAAAGACTCCCAAATAGTATATAACTAAATGCTTCAAAAACTCCAGAGAATTTACATGTGGATTTCCTAACCTTCCGAAGGCCCACACCTGCTTTAATTGACTTTCCACCTTATGAATTGTATGAGAAGCTCTA